GGGGGGGGGGAGGGAGGAGCCAGGCACATAAAATAAGAACTGAAAGAGATGACAGTACTGCCAATTTTACAGAAATAAAAAGTATTCTAAGAGAGTACTATGGGCAGCTGTCTGCCAACAGATTGGATAACCTAGATGAAACGGACACATTTCTAGAAACACACAACCTACCAAGACTGAATCGTGAAGAAACAGGCAATCTGAACAGGCCTATCACTAGGAGGAGATAAATCAGCAACAACATAAAAAACACCTCAAAACCTCCCAACAAAGAAAAGCCCAGGACCAGATGGTTCCCTAGTGAATTCTCCCAAACACTGAAAGAAAAGTTAATAGCAGTCCTTCTCACACTCTTCCCAAAAGTTGAAGAGGAAGGAATAATTCCTAACTCATTCTATGAGGCCAGCATTATCCTGATACCAAGTCGGAAAAAGATGCCACATGAAAAGGAAACTATAGACCAGTATCTCCTATGGATATTGATGCAAAAATCCTGAACGAAATACTAGTGAACAGAACTCATGAGCACTGTAAGAGAACCTTCCATCACAGCGAAGTGGGAGTTATTCCTGGAATGCTAAGAAATATGCCAGTGACTTCAGACAAGGGTCCCAAGACCATTCGATGAGGAAAGAACGGTCCTTTTCATAAACTGTGCTGGGAGAACTGGGTAAACCACATGCAAAAGAATGAAGTTGACCTTTACCTAACACCATATGTAAAAATTAACTAAAAAGAATCAATGCAAGGCCTAAATACAAGAGCTAGAACTATTATTAAAAAGAGCTGAAACTGTTACACTTTGTTCTTAGACAAAAACATAGGGGAAAAGCTTCATGACAGATTTCTCAATTATTTCTTAGATATGACACCCAAAGCACAAGCTACAAAATAAAAATTTGGTAAATTAGACTACATCCAAATAAAAACTTGTGTGCATCAAAAGACACTCGCAATAGAATGGAAACGCAAGCTATGGATGGAAGAAAATATTTACAAATAACATACCCGATAAGGGGTTAATATTCTGAATATGTAAAGAACTACAACCCAGCAACAGCAAAAACAACCCAATTAAAAAACAGCAAAGGACTTGAATAGACATTTCCCCAAAGACAACATGCAGATGACCAACAAGTATATGAAAAGGTGCTCCGTATTGATAATCATTAAGGAAATGAAAACCACCTCACATCCAATGAGGATGGCTATATTTTTTAAAAAACACCCCAAAAAAACAGAAAATAAAGTGTTGCCGAGGATGTGGAAAAACTGGAACTTTTATGCTCTGTGGGTGGGAATGTAAAATAGTATGGCCACTATGGAAAATGATTCCTCAAAAAAGCAAGAACAGAATTACCATGTGATCTAGCGATTCCATTTCTGGGTATAGATGCAAAAGAATTGAAAGCAGGGACTTGAGGAAATATCTGTAGACTCACGTTCCCAGTAGCATTATTCCCAAAGCCAAAATGTGGAAGCATCCCAGGCGGCTGCCAGCGGATAAATGGGTAAACAAAAAAAGTGTTATACACACAAAGTGGAACACGACTTAGCTTTAAAAAGAAAACAAATTCTGACACGTTATGACATGGATGAATGGGAGTGATTATTTAATGGGGACAGAGTTTTAGTTTTGCAAGATGAAAAATTATCTGGAGATGGATGGTGGTGATGGTTGCACACAATGTGAATGTACTTAATCCTACTGAACTGTACATTTAAAATAGGTTAAGATGGTAAATACTATGTATTTACGTATTTCATTACAACTTTTTTAAATTTAAAATTTAAAAGCGCTGGCCAGTGTGGCTCAGTTGGTTGAGTGTCGTCCCAGGGACCAAGATGTGGCCGGTTCTGTGGCTCCGTCTCTAGTAGGGAGCGCGCAGGAAGCAGCCGATTGATGTTTCTCTCTCTCCCCACCCCCTTTCCTCTCTTTTTAAAATTAATAAAAACGTATTTAAAAAACAAATTTTTAGACATGACACCAAAAAGTACATGCTGCATGATTCCATTGATTTCAGGTACAACATGCATCTGTGGTGGCAGAAGGCAGGGCCGTGGTGCCCCTTGCAAGAAAGACAGTAACTTTAGGAAGGAGGCACGAAGGGGCTTCTGGGGTGCTGGTGATCGTCCGTTTCTTGACCGGGGTGTGTTCCGTCTGTGAAGCGTTGAGCTGTGCCTTTGTGATTTGTACAGTTTTCTACATGAATGTCACACTTCAAAAAAATATTCCCGAAAACTATAGATCATGAGCCCCACAGCAGACTACTGACTCGGAATCTCTGCATTTAAAAATCCCCCTTCCAGCTTTTCCTGCAGAATGTTGGATTTTGGAAATCTTTGCTGAACAGAGGGGTTTAGGTAAACAGGCTTCCACTGCCCGAGAACCCTTCGGTTCTCCCCTCCACGTGAACATTCCTTAGAGAAGAGTGTCTTGCTTTCCTTGGGTCAGTCACTTTACATTAGGAAAACGCGCGTCACCTTTCAGGTGCCGAGGGCGGGCACCACCAACATCAGTGACATACAGAAATGGATCGTTTACATATTCATTCCCAAGTATTATTGCTTCTAAGTTGCCCTACATACTATCGTTTATGAATATTTATTAGGCACATGAGGAATATTTATTAGAAGAGCCCCAGGTTTTATTGAGGCCCCCTAAAAAACGGCAGGTGCTAGGACCTAACGGCGTTTAGGCTGTTTGAGTGGGAGGTGAGACATCACACCGTGGGGCGTGGTGCAGGGCAGGCAGGTACAGAAAAGCCAGTTCTTCCACATGTGAGCGCCACAGACTCCATTTCAGCTCTCTCCATCTATCTGCAAGGCTTCTGCAGCTTGGTCAGCAGAAAACATGTTTCTCGCAAAGGCGTTTTTGGAAGGAGCAGATCGGGGTCTTGGGGAAGCCCTTGGAGGCCTTCTTGGAGGAGGCGGTCGGAGAGGAGGACAGGGAAATGTTGGAGGGATAGTTGGAGGAATTGTGAGCCTCATCAGCGAGGCTGCAGCGGCTCAGTACACCCCAGAGCCGCCCCCCACCCAGCAGCATTTCACCACCGTGGAGGCCAGCGAAAGCGAGGAGGTCAGGAGGCTTCGGCAGCAGTTCGCACAGCTGGCGGGACCGGACATGGAGGTGGGCGCCACTGACCTGATGAACATCCTCAACAAGGTCCTGGCTAAGCACAAGGACCTGAAGACCGACGGCTTCAGCCTCGACACCTGCCGCAGCATCGTGTCTGTGATGGACAGTGACACGAACGGGAAGCTGGGCTTCGAGGAGTTTAAGTACCTGTGGGTCAACTTGAAGAAGTGGCAGTGCGTGTACAAGCAGTGGGACCGCGACCGCTCGGGCTTCCTGAGGACCTCGCAGCTGCAGAGCGCCCTGCAGGCCGCAGGCTTCCAGCTCAGCGAGCCGCTGCACCAGATGATCGTCCGCCGCTACGCCGACGACGACGGCCGCGTGGATTTCAACAGCTTCATCAGCTGCCTGGTCCGCCTGGATGCCATGTTCCGTGCCTTCAAGTCCCTGGACAGAGATGCAGATGGCCTGATCCGGGTGTCTATCCAGGAATGGCTGGAGCTGACCATGTATTCCTGAGCTGGACCCTCCCGGGGGACGGGAGTGGCGCTGTCCTCGAGGCCGCTGCTCCCGCCCCGTCTCGCAGCTGCCCTTCCCCGGCGACCCTCCCGCAACCCCGCATGTGTCTGGACTTGCGCTGCTTTTACCGCTTAATTAAAACAGATTTGCCGTGAGAGGTGTTGTGAGTGGTTTGTGCATTAGCCCTCTGTGATGCCGGATTTCTCTGGACTTACAGCCGCGATGGGGTACAGGGCGGAGCTCTGACAGTGAGTTTGAATAGGCTATTGCTCGTTTTCTGAACGAATTCCAAGGAGCAGGGAATCTGTTGTTGTTACCAATGAAATTTGGAGGGGGAGGGAGGGATAAATCAAGAAAGCCCTTAGGAGATATAATTTTCCCTTTTAAAAGGTGGGGAGGAGGGAAGTTCAGAATCTGTTTTTCCTCTTAATGTTCCATCTGGTATTTCCATTATATAATCAATCAATCAATAAATAAGTAAATAAGTAAATAAGTGTAAAATGTTTTCCTGGAAACCTGTTTAACTGTATAGAAATAGGTTCAGGAATGTGGAATGACGCAGTTTTATATTAAGGGTAGTATTGTTTGTTTGGTTTTTTATGGTGGAGCAGCTATCTGAAATTCTAGAATGCTTTCGTCGTAGAAAAAGCATGTAGCAATTTTGTTTTGTTCCGATACATGTGTAAAGAGGGTCAAGGGCTTTGAGGAATGGAAGGGTGTACCATAGTCCAGAACGTCTGGCTGCCACGGGGACCAGCGTGATCCCTCTGGCATGCACTTCATGCGGATCAGGCGTGCCAAGCTCCCAGCCAGCTCTTGTCATGTCTTGCCCTGCCCTGGAACAAGGAATATTTTTGTTGTTGTTGTTCCTCTCTGGAAACCAGGCAGGAAAAATTAAACAGTGACTAAAAAAAAAAACAACTTACATAAATCGTAATCAGTTCGATGGTATATAAAGCAATATAGAGCTATGTAAATGTCAATACTACCGGCTCTTCAGTGCAGGCTGCCAGCCCTGGCCGGAACTTACGCTCACGGGGGGCTCTTGAGGGACGCTGATACCTGAGCCCCCCTCCAACTGAGTTAACTAAGACTCTTCAGAGGTGGGGCCCAGAGATGAGCATCTTTAAAGCTTCCCGGTAATTCTAAAGAGCAGCCCAGATTGACAGCCATGGCTTTAAAGAAAGGCTGTCACATAGTAGTTTGCAAATGCCTCAGCCCAAACTGAGGCCCAGCAGTGGTCAGTATTGCCAGCGCCCAGAGAAGGGCACCCCGAGAAACTGACACCCCAAAGCTGGGGTGGTTGTGCCCTCCTCGTGCATGGCCCTTGGTGTGGCTTTATCATCCCGATTCTGGCGGTGCTAGCGGGGCGAGCAGAATCCAGAGTCCAGCCCAGAGACTCGGAGAGGCCGAGGCTGCAGGTGCTCGGTTCTCCTGCCTGACCGCCACTTGGTTACCCCTCCCGCTTTGCTGGTTTTCAGTGCATTTTTCCTCGCCCAGGCTACCTGGGAGGATCCTCCTGAGTTGGAAGAGAAAGTCTTCCTTCCTCTTTTGATTCATTTAGAGGAAAGTTGTAACTGTGGAGATGATGTAACTGGCCTGTGGCCAGCCCTCAGCTGCCTGTGGGGAATCCACGGTGTATTAGGAGAGGGTGGCATCGGCCTCTGCTTTCACCATCATCTCCGTCACATAGTATCTGTGAAACCGCATGCATATAATTCTGCACTGGGCCAGGCACACAGGTCCCACCCACCTTCCTCAGCAGGCTTGTCATTTAAGCCTGGCCGGGTGCGCTGCTCAGACCAGGTGTGGGTGGACAGGCCTGAGGCAGCTGCCAGCAGCCACAGTTAGCATCAGGATCTCTATCTGAGAAAGCTTACTCATGCACCAGGCACGGGCGTAGGGACACGCCCGGGTGGGGAAAGCTGCCAGGACGCCTTGTAGGAGCTCAGAGCACTGTTATAGCGTAACCTCCCCCGCCATGGCTGTGGAGAGGGCAACGTAGCGTACGTTCCCCCCTTTCATTTTAAATGTTTTATGAAAGTTAAGACAATTATCTCACACGTGGGTGATAAAGTATTTCTCTCGATCATTGAACGAAGGGATTCCCTGCTCTTACGAAGTTACCTACGTTTTTCTTCTTTCTCTTCTCTTCAGAGATCAGAAAACTTTGTATTTATACAAGCACATCTTATGACCAAATGTTGTATAAAATTTGTGCAAAGAACCTCAGTCTCTAGGGCAGATGCTAGAACGTTAGTCCAAACTCTGGATTTGTCTGAGTAACCAAATCTTTGGTGTAAAATGAATAATTAAATTTCTTCGTTTTCATGCAATAGTTGATGTTTTTAAAGGCACATTTTCAATGTGAAAGGGAGTATTTTCCTGATGCCTTTAAAAAAAAAAAAAATTGCCATTTCTACATGGGAGAATGCCTATAGCCTAAGATGAAGGCCTTTGATTCCTGTAACTCCATCCCATTATTTTAAAATTTCTAACATTAAACAATGCAATCAGTATAGTAAGGTGAAAATAACATACATTGATAGAAATATGTGAAAATGCACCTTCTAATTTTTAAATTTCAAAATACCCCATATGATTTTGAAAAACACCTTTATCTCATTTTAATCCACTGATTTCTACAACCTATAGCAGCAAAAAGTACTGTGTGCTCTGCACCTAAGAACAGCAAATCTCCAAAAGTAGTCAATGTTTGTATATTATTTTAAAGGCCACTTTTAAAATGTTTTTTGAGTAATAGTGCATGCGTTTTTACAAGTTGATTTACATAGCAGCCTCGGTCAGAAATCTCATCAGTAGATTGCACAGCTCATCTATAGTGGGACCTTAGAAATATGTTTGGATGTGCCTGTTGATCTTAACATGCTCTTAGAATTACTCATTTCCAATGTTTTCCTGTAATGCCATGTGGATAAAACAATTTCATTTCTAGAAAATTGGTAATACGATTAAGTACATTGAGGAGAGATATACTCTTAATGAATATTCAGGTAAACAGAATACCTCTTCCCCGACTCTCCTGGATAAGAGTCGACTGTGTTTGAGTAACGACACTCCTTTGAGTCTGTAGAGTGTCTTCAAAGACTTGGAGCCGTTTTCTGCTGGCTGCTGCAGAGTCGGTTCTGTTTTATGTGGAGATTACACTCTTACTGATGCCAGACATTTGTTAGTCCATCAAGTCCGCCCGAGCTTTGTTGCTACTAGTTCATTGTTTATCTGGGAACTCATCGCTTGGCAATTTTGCTGCCACAGTGATTCTGACACCTGGGATTGTAGTCCTAGTGCTGCTTATGGTTCCCTTGGGTCCTCTCTCCCCTTCTCTTTCCCCCTCTCCCATCTCATTTTACCTTTCTGCTCCCCTCCTGTCCTTCTTTGTCATTCTCTCCATCTCCTCCTTCCATCTTCGCTCCCTCTCTGCCTCGCTCTCTTTCCCCTTTCTGCCCGTCCCACCCTCTCACGGGTCCTGTCTAGGGGAGTCATTGATGTTTAGGAAAACGCTGCATCCACTCAGCCGGGGTTAGAATTCCCAACCCCTTCTCTTAACGTTGCCATCATGAAATACCTCCTGGGGTATATAGATCCTAGGGTCACACTGGTTAGGCTTAGTTTCCAGAGGCTTAGGCGTGCGGGATCTTCTGGGGGCTGGTACCACCAAGGGGCCACTGGAAGGGCTCGGGTTTGCGCCCTTGCTGCTGGTTTATTGCAGATTCAGCCTGGAGGGAAGAAAGAACATCACTGTCATTGGTGCCTCAATTGACCTTTTCCCCTCCCTTCCATTTTCTACAGGTAGAGGGTTGCTTAGTGACCCTTTGTTGGCCATCATGGCAGGGCCACTGTCAGTGGTGGAGGGAATGCGTCAGCCCCCCCTGGGATGAAAGTCCTCCCCAGAGGGGCTCCCATCAAGGCTGAGCTCAGGAACCACCCCGGGTGCCACAGAGCCTCTGTAAATGAGCCTCAGTGATAAAATGTGTGTATTTACTGCTAAGCAGGAATACCGTTTTCTTCCTCGTGAACTGGGAATGGGTGGGCCACCTGCCTGCTGTTCCGCCTCATTGCAAACTTTTTTCCAAATAGGCCCAGCTCGCGGTGATGTTGAGCTGCGTGGCAGAGCCGAGCCAAGCCTCACCTGTGGGCTGCGGTTAGTGGCGCGTCAGGCGTCAGCCGGTGGCCCTGCTCACTGATGTCTCCCATCCTTTCGCAGAACCACGATGGCAGCATTGACTTCCGGGAGTACGTGATCGGCCTGGCTGTCTTGTGCAACCCCGCCAACACCGAGGAGATCATCCAGGTGGCATTTAAGGTACTGTCAGCCCCACTGAAAGCATCTTGCTCTGCCTCGGAAACAGGTGTTGACTCTAAGTGTATTATTTGAAAATCAGTGAATCTGTTACATGAGTTTATAGATCTGCTGTGACAGGTACACGAGGCTAATGCGATTAAGACAATTGCTACCGAGAAGAAAAGAAACACAAGCATCAGTTTAAGCAAAAAAGGTCTTTGGAAGCAGTCCAGGTCTTGGCATCAGAACCAAACAGCAGGTGATTTCACAAATTAGCTTAAAAAGTTCTCTCTTTTCTGCCTCCCTATTTCCAAGCCCCAAAGTGGGGTTCATAAATAAGCACCACCTGTCCCTAGTCACCCTAATTTCTCACATAGAACATTTGGATCTGTCCTCGAATCTCACTGTGTGTGTCCGAGATCGGTTTAGAGGTATTTTCCTGATGGCGTTTGCTTTGTTGTGGTGGTGCCAGTGAACTCCATCAGGAATGTCCCCCTGTCCTCCCTCTGTGTCTTCCTGCAGTATGATATATATCTTCACTGCAGAGTTGAGGGACAGGTGATTCAGACCGTGGCCCCAGTCCCCAGCAGAGCCTGATGGAGGTTTGAATGATGAGGACCCCAATGTCATTGATCACTTCCATATGCAAAAACAGAGGGAAGAGTGCATTCCCGAAGTGTGTTTTCGGTTCTTCTGAGTTTAAGGGGGCTTCATCTAATTAGTATTTAAATAGGATGCTCCCCTCAGAATCCTAATCTTGTAAGGTCTGCGCTCAAGTAAAGCAAAAACTCCATCTCCCTCCTGTCTTACCAAGCTGTGGCTGTTGATCTTATCATTCGACCACGTGGTGGTCTCCTTGCTTCTGTTCACGATGACAGCTGGAGGACCTCCTCTGTTCCTGTCTCCTCTCACTTCTTCCTGGTGACAGCTGAGAAAACAGTTCCCCTGAAACCGCAACACGTTCCCCCCCTCTATTATCTAGAAAGACTCTTCCAGAGCCCTCTCACAGCTTCGAGACCACCGGGGTAGCCTCAGGAATGTTCACGTCTTCTATCCTTGACCGAGGAGTCCCCAAGTTTACTTTTTATGTCAGATTGGTTTAGATCGAGTTAACTGTGAGGCCTGCAGAGAACCTACGTAGTTGATGCTTAGCAGATGGTCAGAAGGCAAGGGCCAGAACTTCTTCCAAGTTTAAAACTTTTGGCTTTTACAGACTTATTCATCATAAACCCTAAAATTATACCCATAGCTAACTTATTCCGATCCAGATATTTCTGTTTCTGTTTTGGGAATGTATGCGTAATTATAAGTTTAGTTGGGCAAATGTGTACTTTGGTTTTACCAATGAAAGACCTGATAAAGAATGTAGCCCTCAGTCACAGTAATTACTGTTTATAAAGGAGTCCTGAGATTTTGTCTAGCCCAGACCTTGGTTTGGGGGACAGGGTGAGGAAAGAAGGACCTAAAACTATAATTAGACCCCTTTTCAGTAAGGCAAGGGTCATGCTTTATATTGGTTATTTTTTAACCTTCTTGGATGTGTTAGAAAATATTTTGGCATACTTTATATTGATATGTGTATATATATGTATGTATATGTATGATCCATTCACATTCTTTTATTAGGGTAGCACTTCACAGCTAACGTCCCATCTTTGGTCTCATTTCTTCATCACAGTGACCTTTACAGGTAGAGTATTGGTCAGAGTTCTTCAGTTGTAGCAGTAGGCATGGACTCTGGCCCAGGGGTCAGTTGTAAGGACAGGGACTGGGCTCCAGAAACGTCTCTGCACTCTTCCCTGGGCACTTCAGTGAAAACAAGCAAAGCCCAACTCTGTTCATCGCTCCCATTCCAGGGAGGGTCCAAGTGGTCTTGGGCCATGTCTTGGGCAAGACAGGATGTTTTTGATAAATTAAGTGTTCCACAGTGTTCTACGCAATGGGGAAATATCACTCCCCCAAAGGAAACTTGGGCGTTAAACTTCCTACCGGAGTCTGAGATTTACGTTAGGTCTGGGAACTTCGTAGGAAGGAGACTATTGAGAGCGATGAGTGATTGAGGGAAATTGCGTGTTTTAGTGACGGGAGCCATCTGGGGTAGTGGGACGAAGGACAGATGGAGAAGTGAAAGTCCCCAGTGTGGACACATATGGAAGTGAGAGCCACCAAAGACCAAATGAGGCAACAATTTAGACTGTTGGATGAGTGGATGAGGATTGTTTAGGATGGAAGACATTGGAAGAAAGCGTAGAGCTTTAGGAGGGCAATGGGGCTGCGCCCTGGCAGTTAACCATTTGAACTCTCAGGTCCATAAAGAACCCTGGGCTACAGGTAGGGAAAACATGCTAATTCACTTTTCACTCTCCAACTTACCTAAGCCCCCAGGTGCTGAGTGGTAGACAATAGACTAGAAGTCAACACTTTGTCAGCTGGGGCAACAAATTACAACTTCACAGTATATTTTTCTCCTCCCACACTAATGGGCAATTACAACACTGTTCTATACTTGCTTATTTATTTTACGATCATCGCACCTTACCTAAGGCCTGGGTTTTCTTCCTGGCTTTGTTCATGTATTTGGTCAGAAGTGGAGACTTTAACAGCAGGATGTGTAGATATTACCTGCCTGGATGTGGATCCCAGCTCTAACACTTACGAGTTGTGTGATCTTGGGAAAGTTACCTGATTTCCTTGTGCCTCAGCTTTCTCATCTGTAAGATGGAGCTAATAATGACACCCACCATACCTAAACCTCTTGTAAGGGTTAAATGGGTCAATACATATAAAGGGATTTGAATACTTATGATCAGTGCCTGCACGGAGTTAGTTTTTATATCGTTAAAAATTTTTAATGCCCAGGAGAGGATTTTGAAAATGGGATATTAATTATCCATCAGTTGTTCTGTTCTGCTGCTTGACTTAAAAAATCCTTCCATTCTATCACTACTGACCTCTAATTGATATGCAAGTCCTGTCTTTGCTTCCTTATAAATTCTCCCCTTCCTGTGTCCTTCCTGTTTTTCCACCCCAGACCCTTAATTGGTTTTCCTGTCTCTAGTTTTATTACCCTCCTGCCCCCAAGGCCTCCTCCACACTTGGCCTCAAAGAGCTCGTCAGTTCACTTGTGATCACACCACATTCCCAACCATCATAGTCCTACAGGGTCGGGTGAGGCATTACATTTCCATCATGATCTGATTCCTGCATGTCCTGTAGTCTCCTGACTTGAGCTCCAGGCAATTACCCACCAGTTCTGGTATATTCCAGGACTCTCTCTTTAGGACCTAAGACCCAGCTCACCTGCCACCTCCTCTGTCCAGCCTTCCCTGACCTCTTCACTAAGAGTCATCTTTTTGCCTCCACAGGACTCCCGTGTCTTTTTGTCCTTTGCACTGGGGTAGCCCCTATTTTAATTCTGTCTCTTTCCACCACTCATCTAGAAGCATTGCTAGGGCTGCAGACGCCATCCTTTCTCCAGGAACATATCCCCGGCCCGGGCGCAATGAGTGTTTGAATTACTCAAGAGCTTATTTCCCGAGATTATTCCGCACCCGTGCTGCTCTGAGGGAGCTCTTCCCTTCTGCCCCCTGTCCCCGCAGCTCTTTGATGTTGATGAGGACGGCTACATCACAGAGGAAGAGTTCTCCACCATTCTGCAGGCTTCCCTCGGAGTGCCTGACCTTGATGTTTCTGGCCTCTTCAAGGAAATAGCCCACGGGGATTCTGTGTCCTATGGTGAGTAGGCAGTTTGGCTCCTGACTCAGTTTACAAGGAGTGCATCCAGACTACGGATTGACGCTATCCAAGAGTGTGGTTGCCCTCCACTACGTATATTAACAATAGAAATGAGGATGATGATAGTAATAATGGTTGTAGTGGTGTAATGGTAGCAGCTAATTGGTGAGGGCTTACTATATGCTAAGAAATCGCTCAAACATTTTACATACATTCACTCATTCCTTACAGCAAGCCTATCTAATCAGCCCTCTTTATTATTCTTATTTTACGGAGATGCAGAGAATTTAAGTAACTTACATAAGGTCATCCAGCTAGAGAGTTTCAGAACCAGGATTCCAGAACCAGTGCTGCGTGGCTTTAGAGCCCGCACCGTTGGCCTCCACACCTGAGTGCCTCTCGCATCCCTCGGATCCGCTGTCAGCGTGGCCAAGCAGCACTGAGCAAGCCAGCCCACGGCGGTAACCGCGGTACGGAGGTGTGGGCTGAGGCACCGACCATAGTAGCAGTAGCTAAACCCTCACTGAGGCTTACTGTCAGCAGCGTGGGTAAGCTTGCGTGCTCACTGTCTCATGTCGTGTTGATGGCACCCCCGGGACGGAGGGACTGTGGGGAGGAAGACCTTATGGCCAAATGGCAGGTCGGTCCATCGGTGACTAACCTTTCTCCCAACGGCTCGAGGCCTCACATCAGAACAAGTGCCGTAGGGCAGAAGGATGGTGCCTCAGTTTCCATCTATTTCACAGTGCGGTCATTGAGAAACACTCCACAGCAGAGTCCTAAGTGACTGTTTCCCCGCCTTAGCCTTGACCTGTCACAGATGTCAGGCCGGCGTATGTCCCCCAGTCTTTTCCCTTAGGCTGGAAGAGGAGATCTCTTAAGTGTGTTCCGAGAGTTTCAGCTTAACTTTTGTGGGATGGGGCAATTAGATCACATAACTTCTCTTACTCCGTTTTTAATTACTGTCATTTTGGCTGCCCTTTATTCTATTTTAGGTAATTAAGTGCCTAGGGCACTTAGTCTATTAAGTTAATTTAAGAAAACAAATAAAGACAAAAAGAGGGAGAGGAAAGG